TAGATTCACATGATCAGTTGGCAATTTCTTCTTCTTTTCAATGTGTTTCTGAGGAAGATTACAATCAATGAGAAGACAATTTGGACTTTTTTTTTTTCTTTGGCACCTTCCACCAGTTGCTGTGTCATTCACTTTGGTAGAGAATTGTTCTTCACCTTCTTTCTTCCTATTGCTTCCAGTTCTCCCAGGGATCTGTGATACATTTCTCAACATGTACACTTCACACCTGGTTGATATATCCCTGATAGGCATGGCTCAGATGCCATTTGTGTGGTTTTACCCTTTTTTCTACACAGGAGAATTAAGTATTTCACATCATCAGTACTTTGACGTTGATAAATTAGATATTTATGTGTCCTTTGTCATCTAAGTTACTTTAGATGAATTGTAAGTTAGATATTAATTATTACTTTGTTTTTTATGTAAATTTAATTGTTTTGCACATTCATCAATATTCATACTTTGTAAACTCGACAAATTTCGTTTGTTATTTCATTATTCATAAGTACTTTAACTAGGTATGTTTACATTCTTTTTACATTACATATCATTACTACTTGTAACATCTAATACGTTGTTCTATTTGAGTAATTTTTTTCGTCATTGTTAACTGTGTCCCTTATCATCCTAATTTTCGTCAGTGTAGGACTTAATTAAGTATCCTTTGTTGTCTAGATTTATTTAAATGACTGGTAAGTTAGGTATTGATTATTAATGTGTTTTCTATTTTAGTCAGTCTGCATGTTTATTGCTATTACACATTTTGTGGACTTGATAAATTTAGACGATTTGTCCATTAGATATTGATCAGTACTTTGTTAAATGGGTATGTTTCGATAGTTTGTATGTTACATATCATTGATACTAGTAACATATAAGTCATTGTTTTATTGGATTTTTTTTTAATTTTCGTCAGTGTTGGACATAAAATGTTTGATTTGTTACATCACTGATGTGTTTGTTTTCCATTCGTAGGGCTGAACTTGGCTTTGGCTCCCTTTCCTACGTTTGTGATACTAGAACCTCATTTTCTCCTCGTGATCTACAACTTATAGTTCTTCCCCACATTGCCCTCTTTATTTATAGTTCTTTATTGATCTAAGTTGAGTTTTCCAGTTCGGGCCCTACCTTTTGGACTAACATTGGCTCGTTAAGTGTTTTGTCTGGATGTACAAATTCATGCCGAACAGTCTGAGTTTTTTCATTCTTCATTCTATGGATGACTGGTTCCTGCTTGCTTCCTCCTGTTCACAGTCCAGAGATCACACTCCTCTCTTCCAACAGGATGCAGCATGGGTGGGGATTCTTGATGAAAGTGGGGATGTCCGTTCTTAGCTCCCTCTCAATACCCCATTCATTTGATGGGGGGTCTTCTTTTCAACCTGACTCTGGTCAAGCCTTCTTGTCTTGTGGTTTGGAGTGAGCAGTTCACACGTCCCACTCCTTTTCTTGCAGCTCGAGTTGTTCTATTTCTTTGGGGATGTGGGCTTCCTTGGAAGATCTCATTCCTATGGGTTGGGCTCATATGAGTTCTCTTCAGTGGAACTTCTCCTCGGATCCCTGGCTTGATGGTTAGACATAAACCATACCACAGCAGGGGTGCTGATTACTCCACTTTGTCCAGATATACATCTGTTCACGAGCTCATCTTTAGAGAGTCGGGGTTCTTACCTTGAATCCAGAGAGATTTCTGATCTATGATAAATGAAGGAATATTCTCTGCATATTACCTTTTTTGAGCCTTTGACAGTTTGTTGAGCTGTGTCCCACTTTTTTCCTCTCCTATGGGTGGTGCTGCTTATGGTACATTCTGACATCTTCACAGTGGTCACTTATATCACAGAGCCAGAAAGTACTAATTTCAGGATTCTGTGCTTTCAGATCTTAGATCTCGTTTCTGGGCCCACAGTCACCACATTGTAATCTTAGTTTGCCATTTCATGGCTCTCTGAATCTGGTGGTGGATTAATTATCTTCTCCCAACGACATTCTCTTCATTGAGTGGTCCCTCATTCCAAAGATGTAACCACTCTCTGTCTTCACACATGGCTTTTGTGAGGTCCATTATCTCAGTCTAGGAACTGACTCCACGTATTAAATCTTTCTTTTTCCGATCCATTAGACCTTCTTCCATGTCCATTTACTGCAGAGGATAGTATACCTTCCGACTTCGGTCTCTTTGCTGTGGTCTCTGTTCTTCCCAACCTTCTGTTCTTCATCATTCCCTTTTCTTCACCCAGTTGTTTGACAAAGGCTTGTCTACTTCAACCATGTCTAGCTGTCAGGCAGCCTTGTGGATCACCTTCTGTTTCTCTAGGTTTCATCTGGTTTTGTCTTCCCATCCTTTTTATTTCCTTTGAATTGCCTATTGGGATCTCAATGTGGTCCTTTATACCCTTTCTCAGCCTCCATTTAAACCTTTGTCTTCATGTTCCATTTACTTTCTCTCCCTCAAGACCTGTTTCCTTCTCCTTCTTGCTTGCAGTCATCATTGTTCAGATATTGATGTCATTAAACCTCTCCAGACAGGTCACGGGTCAATGGCCATGTCATCGCATTTGTTAACTTGCATTCAAAATTTTATTGAACTCTTATTTCATGAATCTCTTTTAATAAGTTTGGTATCACACTGTAGATTATAATTCAACTTTTAGTATTATACATTATTAATTTCTGAATTTAAAAGTAAATATTAAAAAACTGAGTTGAACATAGATTTTTGTTTGTCATGTGGTTTGTTGAATGCAGCACTGGTTCAAATTAAATTTTTGTGATGTCAGAATACTAAGTCTATAGTTTTGTATGAATTCTGATGACGAGTTATGAACTTTATCTATCTGGCTGAGGTTGTGTATGTACATAGTTAATTCTGTTTATATTTTTACTATGCATTGCATCTCTCAGGACGACTTGCATTTGTGCACATCCTTTTAATGCTGAGGATGAGTTATGAAACTTCTGTCCAGTTGAGGTTAAGTATGTATCCATCCTTGTCAGGTTCATTTCCTACTTAAAGGACAAAGAACATACTTGTTCCAGAAGTAGTGTAATACCTCACTTGAAGCTCATCCGTTCATTCTGGGAAGTTGCTTTCCACTTGGTTACTATGTTGTGTGCCTAAACTTGTCCCCTTCATATTTGAAATGTGGAATTCTAGCTTTATGTGAGTGGAAGTAAGACCATGTTGGAAGTTAACATTTTTCTTGCACTGAAACTGTATTTCTGATAGGTACTTACCTCCCTCACACACTTACCATCCATCCTCCCCTTGGCCAGTGTTCTTCTTTTAGAACATGCCAATTTTTGAAAGTGAGGATTGAGCAGGAATAGCAGAAGGAGTTAGTTGTAGCAATGTAAATGGCACAATATTATTGGTGAAGAGTAGTCACATGATATGTACTTGTTCAGAAATGACACAAAATTGATGGGGTATAAAGATTGGTGCACTGATTGCAAAAATGTTTTTATGAATGTGTAGATGGCAGAAAAGGATTGAGATAACTTTGTGTGAAATAAGGTATTTATGTATCGGAAATACATTTTCAGTGCAAGAAAAATGTTAACTTTTGTCAATACAAAGTTGTATGTTCAGGCTCATGTGAACATTTAAATAATAACTTCTAATATATGTATACTTTAATAATTACATAGTATAATGTGTTAAAAATATATTAACTTTTCTTTTACCTCCCATGTCTTTAGAAAATTTTACTTGCTAATTCATAAATGATTCTATTAAGCTAAAGAAATCCTTCTTTTTGGTAGGAAATGACAAAATATTTTTGAATACAAGATGCATATTAAGCCCAATGGTAATTTATTTAAGAATTACCAAATTTGTTACGATTACATCTCTTCTATTTTATTTTCTTCTTCAGCCAATGCAGTATGATTTTTATGGATATTATGGATATGATAAACATGTGGAACATAAGTATGAAGATAAGTTGAAGTTGGACTACTCCTTTTCTTTCCCTTCTCATCATGATATTGTAAGTGAGTTTGATTCTTCAGGTAATAAAAAAAACGTATTTCTTTTTAATTCTTAAAAGTGTGAGATATGTTTTGAGCTCATTCATTAAAGAGAGTACGCTTCAGGAAAGCAAGTAATTACCCAAAATGCCATATTATTTATTGCAGATGAAATATAAACTGTTTTATGTCTTAATAAAAGATTTTCACAAAGAATTGTAACATATATGCTATTAATGGTTGGAGACGGCTTGAATGGGTAATGAAGAAAAGCTTTAATATAAGTTTAACATAACAG